GTAATGTTTTTGCATTTTAAAATATGAACTATTTTTAATTGCTTAATATAATTATCTGGCTATCTTAAATAATGGCTGCAAAACTGCATTTGTCCGAAGGCAATCTGCCTTAAAGTTTTATTTACCTAAAGAATATTTTGATAAGTGGTACGTTAAATCTTTTTAGTCTTCATCTGTTCTCGCTTCGATATTTAATCCTTCTAAAGGTGCATGGTCAGTAAAAACTCTGAAATATTTATCTTTAAGCAAATACTGCCAATGTTCTATTGCTTTTTACTACCAAACGTTGCAAATAAATTTTTCTTTCGTTCATGGAAATCAATAAGCTTATAAGAAAAATAAGCAACTGGTTTTACTTAATTATTTGCTTGCTTCTGGTTCATATAACTCCCATGCCTTGTTAGCTTGTGTCTCTGTACATATATGTACTAGTAGGTTTCGCCCTCTGCGTGTCCTGCGTTTCATCCCCCTGACTTCGATTTATTTTGGAAACCACATTAAATTAATTAACTTCGTTAAATACTGCTATTGAAATATTGAATATTGTTCTATTAAACGATACTTAACATTTCTATTTATAATTCATATTAAATGAAGTTAAAATTATGAGAACATAAAAACATTTAAGAACGTATAATGGGAATATTCATAAAACATTTAAAGATACTACTGTTACAATGGGATTGATGGAATATGACACCCAAATTGACGATTTATTCAAAAAAGCTACTACCATCATGTTGCTTTATCAATTATGACAGTTTTTCGTACGGTTCTTACTTTCAGAAAATATTTTTGGTAAAAGTGTTTAGAATAAATATAAAACCCATTTTACAGAAGATTTTATTTTTACTGAAAAAAAATTTTGCACTTTTGCAATTAACTCAAATTTTTGCAATTGAAGACAAGTTCCCTAAATCGTTTCATTTATCTACACCTAAAAATATTGACTGTGTTCAAAAACAGATAACTTAGAGTAGCTTTTGTGAAAAAAAAGGTTCCAATCGCTGAAAAATGCGTAGAAAGAGAATTAGAGGGGGGGGATAAGCTGGCTTAAGAATAAATCGTAAAGTGGCGAAGAAGGGATGAAGAGAGGATGGCTAGAAAAGCGTGGAAAGAAAATGAGGGAGGGGGCGTTTTATATCATTCTTTAAAAAATAAAAATTTAAAGATGTGGTCTGTCAGCGCAATACGTAAGGTTTTGAGCTAAGCTCTCGTTTATTGCTCGGGATTTCTTTTTACTAATATATCTCATGCAGCGGTCGGATGGACGGAAGCAGGCCCCGATCCGAGGCAGTAAGGTACGTGAGGGAGATTTAACGCCAGCCACTCTTGCAAGACGATGCAAAGGTACACGGGAGTAGATTAACTCGCTTGCTCCTTTGCACAAAGACAAGTAGCCCGAGTGATTTTGGAAGGCTACTCGTAAGGAAAGGCACGTAGCAGGAAATAATGAGATTTTCTTAGTTCTAATTTTCACTTAATGTTTATTGGTTACTAATTATTAATAGGAACTTAAATTTACCTGCAATAATGAATTAAATGACGTATAAAAGCCAGAGGATCTCGACTGTAGGGCTCGAGGATAATATTAGAAGCAAGCCACCATTAAAACCAACATTATAAAAAACTTGAGCAAAACGAGTCAGTGAAGAACCTTGACTAAAAGAAAGTCGAGGATGGTAAGATTTTTTGAGATTTAAACTGAGACTGGCCAGTGTAGCATGCTCCAGGCCTTACATACGATTTCGCACAGGTCGATTCAGGCGCGCCGTTCTTACGTACACACAGAGTAGGGGTGTTGAGAAGCGATCCTGAGTGCTGACCCGTAAAAACGATCATCAAATAAGTAACGTGTTCTTTAGGCTACGCCCTTGCACGATTTGGGGACGCCACTCAGGTTCGAACACGTGATAGTTTGCAAATTTTAGAACATCCTTTTCCCAGCCCACGGCACTAGAGCGAGAGGAGAAAATTTCATACTTTTTCTCCTGTCTCTCTTTACAATTGGTATAACTAAATGTTATAGCTAAAATGTTGCTAGTTTTTATTAAAAAAGTGAGCACAATGAATTTATATTAAAGCAAAGAAATGATGGTGATTTTACCGGTAACGACGATAATAATAATAACGAAAATGGTCATAAAAGTAATACAAATAGTTATAGTAATAATAGTTCCCATAAAAATACCTTTCATCAAAAGAAAAACGTGGGGTGAGGTTAATGTGTTGAGTTTATATTTCATTGGGAATTTCTGAAGCCTTTTAACACTGGCAATAAATAGCTTTATTTCTTATAAATCTGTTGCCTTTAAAAGTTCTGAAATCAAAATATAATAACAATAAAGTTTTTTTTTGTGCAATGAAAAGTTTGTATGACACTCGTAGTATAATACTGTAGTTTATGTAGCTTAGTACTCGTACTTTAACGAAATTAAACTAAGTAATGCTGACTTCTGACTGGTACTTTATGCAAACCTCACATCAAACACATTAATGCCTAACTATGTCGGAAGTATATAAAAAACTTAGTTTCATTTTACTAAAGTACAAGTACTAAACAGTATTATACTACGAGTGTCATACGAAATTTACGTTGCACGGAAAAAAAAAATTTACCATTTTTATACTTCGATTTCAGAACTTTTCAAGGCTAATAATTCCTAAGGAAGAACGCTGTTCGTTGCCAGTGCTTAAAGGCTTCAGAAATTTCTTACAAAATATTAATTCAACACATCAAACTTACCTGACCTTTATGTTTTGGAAATCATTATTTTTTAGGAAAACACTATTTGTAAATATTCGTTTCAAAAACCTTTAATACTCATTCTAGAAAGTACTAGATAAAAACGAATTCTGTACAAGATAGCTACGGTGGTCTATAATGGTTTCACTAAATTTCTACCGAAAGTTGCTCATATGAAAATTTCTGCAGAAATTAATTTGTACAAATAGTGTTTATATTAATCAAACAAAATATATGTTCTTAAAAAATACAGTTTCAGGATTTTTATCTATGATGCTTTTTTCTTTTTCTTTCTGTTATTCAACTCCTTATTATAAGATCCTTAATCTTATAATTCTAGCAATTTCTTCTTTGAGCTCATTACATGAATAAAATTAGTTTTTTCAACAAAATTTTTAGATGAATTACTTAGTAAATATATGCATTAAAAGTCCCAAATGCGTAATTTCTTTAACTAGATTTAATCTTTTTTTTTTTTTACGTATCGGTGGAATCCAAATATTTCAAATTACAGTTGCTCAATAACTAAGTCATTCTTACAATAAATAATCATTTAATATAAAAATACACATCCTTTCCGAGCGCCTGGCGCCGTGTCGCCTCACTTACGAAACAGTTGGCTCAGCAGAGCGACTATAACTGATCAAGAAGCGTCCGCCTCTAGTTCCGTTGATGATTCAATGTTGAACTCATTATATTCATGATTTTCAGGGAAATCGGACAGGCGTCAGCCCTGTTCACCGCCCAACAACGGCTTGGCGACGTCATCGCTCGGTTCACGGCTGCTGTAAAGGCCACCGAGACAAGCCACTGGACCCCAGGCCTCGTCACGGCTCGGCTTGAGCTCTTGGACGCCTACTGGAATGACTTCCAGGTCAACCATGTGGGTCTGTTGACCGCAGAAACCACCGGACACGGCGACGCCGCGGACGACATATACGCCGCCGCAGAGGCAAACTTCGTCGATGCCCGGTCACACCTGTATGACGCTCGGCTTGCACTAGCCCCGCCCGGGGCCCACGGGGAAATCCGCCCAGCCGGAGAACCGGCACCACATCTTGGGCCCAAGTTGCCTACGATCACCATCCCGCCCTTTTCGGGACGACGAGAGGACTGGGAATACTTCAGGGACCTGTTTCGAGCCCTCATACACGACGACAAGCAGCTAACGGACGTTGAGAGACTCTATTACTTAAAGTCACTCACTCAAGGCGATGCCAAGGCCGTCTTGGACTCCGTGCAGATCGTTGGATACAACTACCCGACAGCCTGGAGCCTACTCGAGGCCCGCTATGAGCATCGGCGGCTTCTCGTGCAGGATCACGTTGCGGCGCTCCGCAACATCAAGCCTCTGTGGGACAAGTCAGCCGGAGGTCTTCAAGCGCTGTTGGACACGCTTAAACGTCATCGCGATCAGCTGAGTGCTCTCGGCCGCCCTGTCGCCTCCTGGGATGATTGGTTCATCGCGTTTGCAGCAACGGGCATGGACGCCACCACAAGACGTGCTTGGAAAGACGAGCTGGAGAAGCTGGAGATTTCCAGCGACGTGCCCGGTGATTCCTGGGCCACCTTTACCATGCTGGCTGCGTTTCTGCGGCGCAGATGCCGCACTCTCAGCTCCGTAGAGGCTACTCATCTAGCGCGCTCAGCTGGCTCCGCCGGCTCACAAGGGCCCTCCTTGATGCACGCAGGGCACAATTTCTGCTCCCTCAAGACCCAGAAGGTCCCAGCGAACTGCCCAGCTTGTCACAAACCCCACTATCTCGGGTATTGCGGTCAGTTCCGGGATCTGAATCCAGCAGCCAAAATGCACATCGTATTCCAGGAGAAGTTATACTTCAACTGCCTGAAGTCAGGGCACTCCCTGCATGACATCCCCTCCAAGTCGGTCTGCCAGCGCTGCCAGGCGGTGCACCACAGTCTGCTGCACGACAGCCGCAAGCGCCGGTCCGAAGCTCCAGGATCTTCGGACCCACCCAAGCAAGCGAAGCCGACCAGCTCCGATCTCCTCAAGACTCCTGATGAGTCCCGGCAATGACTCGCGGTGCTTCCGACCGCGCTCGTCCAACTCAGCGGCGACTGGGGGCCCATCGTCACCGTGAGAGCCCTCCTCGACCCGTGCTCTGAGATCTCGGCCATCTCTCTCAAGCTCGCTTGCCGCCTGAAGGCCCCTTTGGAGGATTCTAGAACCAGCGTATCAGGCATCGGCGGCGAACACGCCGTAAGGTCAACACTCCGCGCCAGCCTGCGCCTGATGCCAGGGGATGGCACCCCCAGTTTGCATCTGAAGGCGCTGTGCATACCCCACCTCGGTCTTTCAACTCCTGCGGCCCCGCTCGACCCCAGCATCCTGCGAGTCTGGGCCAGCCTGCAGAACCTCACCGACCCTGACTTTGGCCTTCCTCGTGCGGTCGATATTCTCATCGGCGCTGAGGTCTACAGCCGTCTGCTGCGCCCTGGGTACCATCAGCGTGGAGAGATCGTCGGTCAGCATACAGCACTCGGCTGGACTCTAGTCGGGTGTGCTCCTGGGCGCCCCTTGGACAGCGCCGTCGCATGTCCGACATTGCACGATGAGCTGGCTCCACCCTGGCATCGCGAGCTCGTCATGCTACTCCAGCGCTTTTGGGAACTAGAAGAGGTGCTCTCCGTCTGCCGCTGCGCGCCCGATGACATCGACTGCGAGCGGATTTTCGCCAACTACTGGCGCGACGCGGACGGCCGTTATATCGTGCGTTTGCCTATGAAGCCCAATGCTGCACCGCTCCTCGGCGATAGCCTGGCTAGCGCCCTGGCCTCACTGCGATCTCTACACCGTCGCCTCCAGCGGGACTCAAAGATGGCGACCGAGTATAACCGCTTCATGAGCGAGTACCTCGCCCTCGATCATATGAAGCGGCTCTCCAGCCGAGAGCTCTCCGAACCGAGCAGCACGGTCTGCTACGTCCCGCATCACGGCATCTGGCAACACGGGGACCTTGGATCAAAGTTGCGCGTCGTGTTTAACGCCTCGCACCCAACCTCGAGCGGCTACAGCCTAAACGACATCCTGCACTCCGGGCCGAGACTCCAGGCCGCACTACCAACAGTCCTGCTGGGATGGCGAAGATATTGCGTCGCCTTCTGCAGCGATGTCCAGATGATGTTCCGCCAAATCTGGGTCGACCCACGAGACGCAGACCTTCAGTGCATCGTCTGGAGCCCCGATCCGAGTCAGCCGCCTGTACACTATCAACTGCGCACCGTCACTTATGGCACGACTTGCTCGCCCTACTTGTCACTGCGTGTGATTCAACAACTCTGTCATTACATAGGACACTTGTGGCCGGACGCCGTACATGTCGTCATGAACGATCGGTACGTGGATGACATCCTCTCGGGTGCCGATGACTTCGAAACGGCCCGCCAGCTTCGAGATCAAGTAATCGGCCTGCTGCGCTCAGGCGGATTTCCACTCCGGAAATGGGTCGCCAATGACGCCGAACTTCTGGCTGACCTCACCCAGGAAGCTCGCGCCCGGTTAGATTGGGATGAGGTAGTACCTGCATCAATGGCTCGTCGATGGTCAGCTTTCACCACTGAGCTGAAATCAATCCAAGGCTTCTCCATTCCACGTTGGATTGGATCTTCGGCTCCGTCAAAGATTCACCTCCACGCCTTTTCAGATGCCAGCTGCCGCGCGATGGGCGCGGTGGTGTACTCCCAGCTGCAGGACTCCTCAGGGCAAGTCCGCTGCCACATTCTGCTGGCCAAGACGAAACTTGCGCCCATCCGAAGCCTCAAGCCGTCAGCCACACCCCAGGCCCGCATGACGATCCGTCGCCTTGAGCTGCGTGCCGCGCTGCTTGCTGCGAAACTGCTGCGCTTGGTCGTCAACGACTGGAACATCCCTGTTGAGCACTGCTGCGCTTGGTGTGACTCCGAAGTCGTTCTACGCTGGCTCCACTCCGCCGAGCCGACCAACCGTGCTCTCGTCGACAACTACGTCGCCCACATCCAGGAGGTACTGCCACTGCACATCTGGCGCTACGTGCCTACTCATGACAATCCTGCCGATGTGGCGTCTCGAGGCACCGATGCCCAGACTCTACACCGCCAGCAGACATGGTAGACTGGACCTTTCTGGCTGTCCGAAGGCCCTGATCGTTGGCCCCAGGAGCCCTCCAAGCCGCCACAGCCCTCACCTCCTCGCCTCTGCACATCACGCAAAAGGTCGAGTTCGACCTTCTCCGACTGTTCTCCGATCTGGGCGTCCTCCTGCGCACCCTCACCCACCTGCGTCGGTGGGCGAGACTACATCTCGGCCGAGCCCCTCCACGACCGATGCTCTCAGCACCGACGGCTACCGAGTTGACCGATGCCTACCTCGCTTGCGTGCGCTTGAGCCAGCAGCGTGCCTTCTCTGATAAACTTGCACTGCTTCGCACGGGCCGCGCCCTTCTCAAGCGGCACCCACTGACATCGCTCGCAGCCTTCGTCCATACAGACGGCGTTCTGCGTGTGGGCGGTCGCCTCCAGCACGCCGAGATGACCTTCGCGGAGCGACATCCACCTATCCTTGACGGCGCTTGCCCTCTCACCACGCTTACGATCGCGTGGGCCCATCACCGAGCGCTCCACGGGGGCTTTCGCACCACCAGCGTGTACACCGTCAAGCGTGCTTGGATCATCAGTGGCTCCCGGAAAGTCAAGGCTTTCCTACGCAGTTGCGTTATTTGTGCTCGCCTCCATGCCCGATCAGCTGTCCAGTTGATGGCTCCTCTCCCGCGGTCACAAGTTACTCCCTTCCGCGCCGTCGGTCGCACTGGGATCGACTACGCCGGGCCGTTCCACGTCCTCGCAGCTAAAGGCCGAGGCGTTCGCACCACGAATGGTTACATCGCCATATTTGTCGATCTCACCACGAAAGCACTACATCTGGAGCTCGTTGGCGATCTATCAACCATCTCCTTTCTTGCGGCTCTCACCCGCTTCTCTGGTCGCCGGGGAAAACCGTCTGAACTCTAGAGCGACAACGCGACGTGCTTTCATCGAGCTGACACCGAATTGCGTGACGCGCTCCGTCTTGCTGAGCACCGGTGGGACCTCGTCGCGGGTGCCCTAGCGGATCAAGGTATCGAGTGGCATTTTATCCCACCCGGGGCCCCTCACTTTGGAGGTCTCTGAGAGGCCGTGGTCAAGTCCGTCAAAGGTCATCTCCGACAAGTCATGGGCTCGCGGCACCTGACGTACGAGGAGTTCTCAACCGTCTTGGTCGGGATCAAAGCTGTCCTCAACAACCGACCCCTCACTCCACTGTCGGGCAACACGGACGACCTGGGCGTGCTGACACCCGGTCACTTCCTCATCAGAGCACCCCTCAATCAATCATTGAGGCCGCGCCACCCAATCAGGATCTCGACCATCTGGCTCACTGGGAGCTTGTCTGGGGCATCAGAGCATAATTCTGGGCCCGATGGAGTCGGGAGTATCCTAATACTCTTCAACAGCGATCGAAGTGGATCACCCCTCATGGGAACCTGACCTTGGGTGATATCGTCGCCGTCCTTGACTCATCTCTGCTCTCGACCGACGGCCGCTGGCCTCTCGGCTGCACAACTGACATTCACCCTGGCCCGGACGGCCTCGTACACGCTGTGACCGTCCGAACGGCGACGGGAGAATACACCAGGCCAATCATGAAAGTCACGCTGCTTCCGGTGATAACCCGGACCGCCTCTCAGCCTGCATCGCCCGAAGGTGAAACCGCTCTGGATACGGCGGGCGGGACTTAAAGTTTTGTTCCTGGAACGAGGCGGGCGGGATGTTTCGTTCGACGATATACTGTCAGTCGGGCCCTCCTCCTGATCGTCTCGGCGCTTCGTTACGCCGCTGCCGCTGGCATCGACGGCCTGTGCCGGGACCAATTCAGTTCGTCTCCTGATACACAGGTTCACGCATCAGCTGGCCAGCTACACACCTCTGCCAGCCAAGCCACACCAGCAGTAGCCAGCAAGCCGCTCGAGACAGCTAGTCCACCAACAATATCAGCAGAGCATAGTACGCAGAAAGCACGCTATTCATTGTCGCNATTAATAAAGGGAGTACTTGTGAAACACTTGCGAGTTAGTTCAATGCAGAAGCACGCGATGTGTAGCGGTGAACGTCAGTACTAAACGGTCCAGTTGTCTCAATACCGCGAAAATTGAAAACGTGCTTCTACAAATTGAAACTTTAATGCAGCTCATACCTTTCATCAATTAATTATAAATAAAGTTGAATACATATGGGTTAATTTAACCATCGCCTTTTTTAGTAGTAGTAGTAATAATAATAATAATAATAATAATAATAATAATAATAATAACAGTAATAATAATAATGGTAATAAAAATTATAATAATAGTTTTAATATTGAGGGTAACAACATTAGTATTGACGCAGCGCTTATGATAGTAGATTCGTTAAAGGAATTAGTTGCAGTTATCAACAATACGTGAGCTTTGTTAATAATATTAAGAAAACAAAATAAACACTATGACAATTACGTTTCTTTCCAATTAACTTGAGTAGAAATAAATGTAACCAATAATTAATTTTATGTTGCCTATTAATATTAATAATTTAGTTGTACACGGTTGTAGTGGAGTTGCTTGTTTAAGTGCGGGAGTAAAGAGGGCACCAATTTCTGATACCATGTGTGGCTTCATTTTTATTTGACTGAAAATACCATCTGGTGTTTGTCAGATTTTGGCATTTGTTCATAAGTTGGCGTGTTTGCAGCTTCCGGTTTCTAACGGAAATTTTCATCGATAGCAATAAAGTTATACTAGGTGCAGTGCATGCTGGTGTGACCTCTTTGAAATAGTTTTTTTATGAAGGTGATAAGAAAATGCCAAGCGCCTTTCCCCTTTGGTACTATTTTTGCAGATGGATATGTAGAAGTAGTAGAGAGCGACGGTAGTACAGAGGAGTGAGTGTGTCAGGCAATTTAAAAATTTTGAAATATTTAGCTATTGACGTTACATAAGAGGAAAGAGTAAATATATATAATACCGTATTGAGTAAGTGACATTTAAGGGAAGTGACTAATTTGACGGAAGAATTCATATCAATTTTTTGATAAAAATACTAAATAATATTGGTGAAGGTCTACCACCTCATGAACAAAATTTAAAAGTTATAGTATTCTTTATGTCAATAAAAAGTTTGAGTACATTCGATGGTTTATGTTATGACATAAGGTTAAAAATAACAAACTTGTTAAAATGCAATAGTAAGGCAGAAATGATATTAAGTAAAAATATTGGACAAATAGTTTTTATACCATAATCATTGTAAATACTAAAAATACATCTTGATTACCACTTATTCTATACAGAAAGCAATTTCTCTTAGTTGTAGCTTTTTCAATGACTATAAATAAATTACAAGATCAAACTTTTAATATAGTAGAAATTTATTTTTAAAAACCAATTTTTTCTCAATGTCAATAATATGTTGCCTTATCAAGATGCGTGACTAAGAATATTTTTTCCGGGCAAACTGAAAACGAAAATAACGCTAAGGTAAAAATTATTGTGTGGAACAAAATTCTTAAATCATAGATAAATTGACTTTGTCAAAGGGTAGGCAGCTCCATTGAAAATGATTTTTGTGTTGCAAATGCTCTTTTGTATTGATCTAAAAATTTTAATGGAATTCACAAAAATGCTGAATTTATGTCTAAAGTAGAAAAAAATTTATAATTTCTAGTTCTTATCATTACGTCTTCTATTGATGGAAATGGTTCAGACTCAGGGATAACTATCCTATTAAGATCTCATCCATACACAATCTTTTTGTTGAGAGTTTTTATTCAATTTCTTTTTTGGCTTTAATAGTACATCTGTACGGTCTTTTACTACAATATTTATCGATTAACAGGACCATAGGAGTTTCGTAATCTTTCACTGTACCTATGTTGTATTTGTCTTTGGAAAATATTGACTTATATTTTTCCATAAGCTAACCAATTCTTGTTTTTTTGCTGAAAATCTAGAACCTAAAAAAATAATCTAAATTTACTTGTATTTATGTTTTCATTACTATTTCTATGTTAGTCCAATTGTTTTTATATGATTAGCTGGTATCATGCTGTAGTATTTCTCGATTTTTATTTTAGATTAACTTGAAATCTTTAATTATATTTTATCCGGTTAACAAATCGTATTTAAAATTTTTATTTTGAATGACAATAACATCAACTAATTTTTGTACATCATACATCCTTATTTTTATACTTATTATTACATTTGCTGTTGCCACACCGTTAATCGTTGTCAAGTTGGTTGTTTATTGCTTGAACTTTTCATTCTCTTTTCTTAATTTTTTCAATTTTGAGTTTTTACGACATACGATCCTGAATCATAAACTCCGAATACTTCTAGCGAATCATTTAATAATAATATAATATCGTATCTTGTTAATATACTTTTAATTCAAAGTTGTTTTTTAAGTTCATTTTTTTTCCTCTATTATTGTGATTTGAGCTATTTTTTGTTTTAAACCAACTAGTTGATTCAGAGTGAAATCTAGTGCCTGTATTAAATTTTTCACATATTGTGCATGGCGGAACTTTATCAACTCTTTCACTACTTAGTGGATTTTTTTTTCTTTGTAATTTTTTCTTTTGCAATGAATATTCATGTCTCTTTATTTCAATATAAAAATCCTCGACTTTTTTAAAATTTTCTCTGTCGATCCAATTTAGTATAAAAGTTGGTAATCCAGCCGCGATAAGATCAATCAGCGTGCTTGTGTCAAATATCCTTACAATTAAAAAGGATTTCTCTTTCCTTAACGCGTAGTCTAATTACAATTTTCTAACCTTCTCCATACTTAAACACTAGAGAATATGTAATTCGATTCCATCCTTTGTTCAGAAAAGTATCACAGAATTTCCCTTTCCATTGTTTCCAATCAGCAATCAAGATAAGTTTTATTGATATTGAGCCATAAAAATTTTGTCACGTTTTATCGAGAGATAGTCTTAGAACTTCCATTTTTTTGGCATCTTCGTCTATTTTGAAATTTTCACATTCTTTTTCAAATGTAGTGATCCATTCAACAACACTTTGATTTATAATGTCATCATCTCTTATTGTTGGGTCTGAAATTACTGTAATTCTTTCTAAGTGATAATCTAAGAATTATGAATTACCTATTCATCTAAATTAGTTGTAAGCGTAAACGGAAAGTTTTGATACGATTGCGTGGTAAGCGTGCGGGAAAACGAAGCGTCGTTGGTGGCACTCATTGTTTGGTGGGAGACACATACACTCATATTCTTTGGACACAAAATTGAAACTTATCTTCTGTATATTCACTTTAAAACATTAGTTATGATTGTATTTGTCTCCCCACTTAGTTTCGAGAGTTCTTATATGATCTATGAAAGTGGCTAAGCGCTCTCGTGTGCCTCGACCATCTAGAAAAAAGAATGCTCCCACAAAGCCGTTGCTGCTTGCTTCTTCTTTTTTTCGGCAAATCTCTTACCTCTGCTTTTAGGTTAGTTTCCGATTCTTAAGGACACTTCGTCAGTGCCAAATTAGTCATCTCTTTTTAACTTACAGTCGATCGTCAACCTTCTGTTTCTCGCAAGTTGTAAGTTTGTTGCACAATAAAAGAATTATGATTTTAGTTTTGACTTAAAAAAAATTATACAGTTTTTATATAATGCTTCAAGCTTGATAAGTAAAAGTGCTTTGCACATATTTTTTTTTTCTTTGTTTCTTTAAAATTTAATATTCTGTACAAGTTTATTTATAAATGGATATTGGATTGTTTAACAGTAGTTATACACTGTATACTTGCTGTTTATTATACCATTGATGATTATTAGCATTTTATCTTGCTCACAATAGTAGAAACAGTTTTGGTTGACTCTTACAAATCGTTCATTTAATTTTCTATTGATATACAAGCTCCCTTCTCGGCTTGGTTTTATTTTAACCAAGAGAACAAGCATCTTAATTATAAGTTTTTTT